GTGTTACATCATTTTTATTGTACCTGAGGGCAGATACTGCCAAGTTTTAAATCTGGAAACCTTTTCAACTGAATCGGTGTCTAAACAGGTTTTAAATAAAATAACTATACTGATGTCACTGAACTCTGTGTTTTTGCTCAGAGGTCTCATTCATAGGATTCAAATATTGCTGCTGCTGTGATGTGCCAGTTGTCTCTGACTTGCACCACTCCCATGAACAAATGCCCTCCAAGTTGGCCTGCCTTTCTGTCCCGCTAATCTCTTGTAAACTCACATGATGCAAATAGGGGCTAGCAATGGGATCTCTTGAGAATTACTCCTAATTTCCCATCACTGGTTTGAATCATTCTCAGTTGAGATAGATCCAGGTAGAACAAGAATTAACCTTATTTCACATTTGACTGGCAACCCTGAGGGTGAGCTAATGCAAGCACTCCTTTGTTTTTTGGTCTGTACACGTTTTCCCTCTTTCTCCATTAGCTAAAATATTCATCCCAATTACCGTGGGTTCTCAGACAAAAGGAGACTATTTTTTAGTCTCCTAACGGGCAATAAAAGCCCAGTGCTTTTGAGTCATCTCCTTTGGCAGAGGGATACAAGCAGTCTTTTGAGATTAGTGACAAGAACCTAGATGGTAAATGTGTCTGGTTGCACTTTTTTCCTGGTATGTAGCAAGTATATAGATTTGCCTCTGTCTTCAGGCAAACACACAAGTGAAATGACAGGTTTGTCAAGAGATCCTAAGGGATTTTTGTCAAAAGAAGCTGTTGGGGGCTGCCAGTTTGCTCATGGGATGGGAGTGTCAAAGCTACCGCTGAAAACACCTTCCAAACCTGCTCTTTGCTGTGGGAGAAAAAAAATGCACAAATATATGTGCCAGCGTTGCACCACCTCGATTGGGCAAATGCAGTTTAGCTATCTCCCTACCCCTACTTGTCAAGCGGGGGTATTATTATGCTGCATTACTTTACATTTTTGCCCCACTTTTATTCCTCTTGTAAGAACCCCAGGTAAATTACAAGGTTGTTCTCTCCATTTTATCCTCACAACAGCCCTGTGAGGTAGGCTAGGCTGACGGTTTGGAACTGGCCCAAAGTCACCCAGTGAATTTCATGATTGAAATCCATATCTTTGGTGTTCCAGTCCAACACTCTTAACCACCACTGTTATGAGAGGTCGTTGAGGCCCAATTGGTGAGGGTGTTCAAAGATAGGCTGGACATGCACATGGTGGGCATGTCATGAGCGGAGCCGGCTGGAGCCGGGGGTCAGACTAGATGGCCCGGGAGACCCCTTCTGACTTGCTCTGTTTCTATGTTATGGCTGTATTGGAATTAAACAGGAAAAAATGCATTGAGAGATCCGACTGCCATTCTCTCATGTTCATGATATGCCAAGTTATTTCTGGAGAACATTTCCTTTATTAGAAAATTAGTTGTAGTGTAAATAGTCATTTTCTTCAGATGGACATTGGTGCTAACTTTTCAAAAGGGTGATGAAATGACTTTTAAGACAGATTACTGACTCCTTTTTAACAAACACAAAAGGTGGACGAGCAGGTCATTCTTCTGACTTCTGTCTCTCTTCCCCTCCTTGAAGTAAAAATAACTTGTCCCCAGTACTCTTTGTTCACAGAACTCATTTCCAGTGCCTCCAGTTATTTTTAATGTTGCCTATTCTAAAAGTAGTTCAGAATGCATTTCAGACAAGGACATTCATTGAGGCTCCATAAACATGATTATTTTAACTGAAAAGTAAAATAGGTACTTCATTTTCTTTTACGGTAGATATTTAAAGGAAAAAGCTCATTGGAACTTCTTAGAGAAAACATTTTCTATTCCTAAACTGTATTGCTGGCTTTCTGGGTTTCCAACATGACGCTGTTCTAGCAATAAAAAGAAAGCTTCCACTATTGGTCAGTTTAATCATAATATTCAAAACTTACATGGTGTACTTATATGGCAGAGGAATAATATACCACTACACCGATATGTATCTTAAAGAAACATGCAGGTGAGACATGTAATTCACCAGCCTATAATTCTAGCTTTCTTAAATCCACTAGAATACCACTAAACCACAGCAGTGTAAGGGCCAGAGATATTACAAGTCTGGCAAACAGCCAAAACTCTGAAGGCTATGTAAGAGCTAAAAGTAGCTACTAGTGACTGGCCATCCTGCTTGGAAGGTTTACAAGATTGATTCTTTTGCACTCCTTATGTACCTGCTGCATTCCACTGGGTTGAGGCATATCTCTGGCCTCAATATAATGAACTGTTAGTTGTGCTAACAGTTAGGCACCTGCCCTGAAACTTACAAAATGGTAACCAAGCAACACCCAACTAGTGTAACCAGGTGCTTGAAACTGACCAGATCAAAAACCTTGTATCTGCATAACATTCAGCGAGGTCAATGCATGTAGAATATTAAACTGACCTTCTGTGACGAGGCATTACCCATAAGCATATGGGAATCCCTTGGCGCAACCATCTTGGGATACCTCTTAAACCAGGGATAGAGAATGTGTGGCTACCACATGTTGGTCTGCGACTCCCATCATCCCTCACCATTGACTGTGTTGATGGGAGTCGCAGTCAAACATCTGAAGGACCAGGCATATCCCCACCACTATCTTAGATCAGTTCCGACAAACTCTGTCTCAAACCCTCTGTAATTTAAAGTCTGTATATAAATGAACAGCTGCCTGGCATGGGCCTGTTTGGTTTTGTCATAGCAGAAAGGCCATGCTCAAACCACCATTGTTCCAATAATAGATTATCTTGTACTAGTAGCATGAAAAATCCAAACTAACTCCTCCCTCAGTCTTCCTTTACCTCAGTCTTCCTTTACCTTTACTAAGAAGCCTGACCCAGGTTGTGTTGAAGTCACCGAAACACTTTGGAGCTGAATATTAGAGCAAAGACTTCCTTCCTATTGTATTCCATCATTCACTTTTCTCCTGTCAGTGCTGATGAGCCCGCTATATTTTCCAGAAGATGGAATGCTGGCCATCAGTTTGAATGGGTTTCAGGGGGAATTGGACGCATTCATGGAGGATAAGGCAATCAGTGGCTACATGTCATGATGGACATGGATTATCTCTGGTATACGAGGCAGTATAGTTACACCAATTGCTGGAAAGCGTGGATGGAGCATATTGATGCACTTGTGTTCTATCTGTGGGTTTTCTGTAGGCAGGTGGTTGGCAAAGTGTAAACAAATGTACTGGCTTGACCCTTAGTCTGATCCAGCATAGCTCTTATGTGTGAAGCCTAGAGAAGTTGTCCATCCCAAGCCCAAAATGCACAATCCTGCCAAGACTTGGGATGGGAGGATCAGCAGAATTCAATTTTATAACTCTTTTTCAAGTTCTACCTCAAAACTCTGTTCACATCTGAAAGTGAGCTTTTGTCTTACGTTCAAATGGGGGAAATGATACATTTTTCAACTGGGGGCACAAAATTAACAAAGAGGAGCCTGGAAAGTCCTGTTGTTGGTTTATAGAGACTTCTGGATGTTGGATATTTTTAATTTTATTTAACTTACCATTGCATATTTCTGTTTTGCATACCATTGCAAAAATGTTTCTTGGATCTTTTAAAAGATTAATAAAATTTGTCACCCAGTTTAAAATGATACCCTTTTTTGGTACCTTTGTTTGCAAACAGTTGAGGCACTAGAGCTATAGAGCTACCCTATGTGAATATTTAACTTCTTTTTACAAGATAAAAGGTTGAATGGGGATACATGAATAAGCCAGTCCCTATGTTTACTGCATTTTAACTATGTGCTGTGTGTGTGTGTGGTTTTTTTTTTAATTAGCAAGAAGTGGCTCTGGCCAGATAATTGCACTAATAGAAAGGTCTTGTATCTTCTGATGACCTTACCTGTGATAACTATCCACTCTGTGGTTCTAGATCCCCTTTTCTGCTATTTCTTTTGATAGTAGAAGAGGAGACACTAAAATCAGTCCCAATTGTGAAAGAATGAGGGCCAAAACAGATGTTGCTTTAAGGTCTGTGCCTAGCACATATTTCCCTCTCTCAATTTTTACTCTTGAATACATGAGTCTGTATTCAATTCTGGATGTGAATTGGAGCCCTAGTGTACAGGTAGTAGAGGTCTTAGTAGATTAATCCCCCTGTACTCACTGCTATACAATGGTGTAAATGCCTATTTTGGCCCTCAGCACAAATGATTCTCATGTAATCAGTTTGTGTAAATGAAATCATGCACGCATACTTACATACACGTGCACCCTTCCATGTAAAGGTTACGGTACAAAGCTGTATTTTCCTGATATCATAGCTTCTACCTTTAAACACCTTTGTTATTGTTTCAGCAAAGTGTTTTTGTCCTGGAAGAAGCTTGTTCTTTTAAAAAATTCCATTATGTGGAAGTCTGGGAGGTTCCCCTGTTAAAATATTGCCCTTTAACATCTCTGGCAAGAATATGCTTGTCTAGCCTATAATATGGTTCCTGAATTTCCAGAATGATCACGTTCTTGGCATAGAGGCCATTTCTTTTGAGTAGAAGGTTAAGAATGGAAAGTTGATGATAAAGAATGAAATGTGCCGTCTGCAAAATGAGTTACTGCTGATATTTTATGAAATAGTGTGGGAAAGGTCATTATCACTGGGAAAAACAGTGAGGGGTTCCCAGTGCTTATAATATTTGTTGGTTAAACCTTCCCCTTGTTATCAAATGAGAAAAGAACAAAGGTTCCTGTTTACTTCTGTAATATTTTTAGATTGACATTTTAGCTAGATTTATGATTTCCAGAAAGTCTTTGCTCTTTATTGCAACTTAAATTTCCCATAATTAATTAAAAACCAAATTTATACATATGAACAAGCAATAGTAAAGCGGCTTATTTAGTTACTCTAATTAAGTATTTCGTTTCGGTGCTGCCCTATAGCCAAAGCTGTCTATGATCCTTGATACACTCTAACGATATCAAAGTGTTACTTTAACTTGTGTCTTTCTGTTTCTTTATTCCAGATAATCCTGGGAGAGGCTCTTTCTGTGTATTACAACCATTTGCACTCCAATTCATTTGTGCGAAACAACTATATTGCAGCTATTTACAAAGCCATTGGGACATTCATCTTTGGCGCAGCTATTAGTCAGTCTCTGACAGACATTGCCAAGTACTCTATAGGTAGACTGAGACCTCACTTTCTGGACATATGCAAACCAGATTGGCAGAGGATCAACTGCAGTGCAGGTTACATTGAAAACTTCAAATGCCTTGGAGACAAAACAAAGGTTAATGAGGGGAGGTAAGTCTGTTAACCTAATATATCTTGTCATGGAGGCAATGTGTGATGAAATTTCTGGCAAAAATGGGAATTAAACTGTGTTGTAACTGGGATTTTACTTCTACTGGAACTCAGATTATGAACTTCACTTGTCTTCTGTAAGCACTGCATATATTGCTGAGATAGTACTTCTGTTAGTAAAAACCATATACATTTTTCCTGGTCACTGGCCTGCTTTGCCATTATCAACAGTTCATGTACATGACTGGGAGAGAGTGAGCACATTGCTTGGAGTGCATCTATCAGTTTTCTGTTTATTGAACAAGTAATAACTCTTCTGTAGGTTGCTGAAAGTGTTGGAGGAACTTGGAATGCTTAGAACCATTTTTTGGGTTGGGTTTATTGCTGGGTTGTTTGGCCCTGAAACAACCAAGTACTCTGGTTGTTTCATGCTCAGTAACTTAAAAGGAGCCAGTCTTGGATTGCTGAGCTCTTTCCAACTCATCTCTGACAATTATTGTACATGTGATCTAGCCTGTTCTGTGAGTTAGTTTAAAATCGTTACAGGTTTCGGCATAAATCAACTTTATGTCTTTATATGCTTGGTCCCTAACTGGCAGTATCTTGGAAATGTTGACTGTAGCTGATGAACTACAATCAACATTTAAGTGCTTTTATTAAATTTTACTAAGAAATTGTAAGGTTTAGAAAATGTCTTAAATCATCCTTCACAATAATATTCCAAATCATTTATTTATTTAGTTGAGATATAGCCCACCTTTTTTTCTTTTTTAAAGAACTCAAAGCAGCTTACATCATTCTCTTCCTGCTCTCATTATAGTGATTCTGGCTTCATTGCACTTTGAGGCTAGCATGAGCATTGTACCTTGACAACTTAGGCCTGCATGATTGAGTTGCAGTGTAGAAATCCTATTGGTTTACAAAAGCCTTGAAACTGTGTAGGTGGAGTTTTTGGTAAGAACAAGGAACGGGAGTATTAAAAATCTACAGAAAACTCTTCTGTTGCTGTCAACGTGTTCATACAATTAACAGGGTTAATCATGTGTAAATCGTGTATGATTTCATAATCAAACATTTGGGAGGCAGAAGGGAAGACCCATAATTAACAAAGAAGTGTTATGAAATGGGTTATTAACACATTTGCTCAGTATCTCCAAAATAATTAGCAAGGATACTTCATTTAGAAATTCAAAGTTTTAAGCCATTTAAATGTCTTTGGAAAAGTTCCCCAGCTTGGTGGCCTTTAAAGTCTTTTGGGCTACAGTGCCTATCATCCACAGCCAGTCATATGTCTGGAGTTGATAGAATTATTGTGTAACCCATTTAGAGGAACAAGATGATAGAGGCAAATGTTTATCATCCTGTTTAGTGGGTTTTTGAGCAAATGGATAAATTAGAATTCTACTTGTGAATACTTGCTTGTTTGTTTTACGGATTTGCCCTTGGGCTTAATTAGTGCTGGAATTTATTTTGGTTGATTTCGGGAGTGTGTCTTTCCAACAGCTGGTACAGATAACTTCAGCCTCTGGAGTGAAAAGCTGTTCCTGACTAACACCTGATAGCTGTTCTAGTGTGGTTGCATATTCTTGCTCGTAGCACCCATCTGTCATGTTCTAAGTTTGAGAAACTGGAACAAGGCACCCTGACATCTTTACCTTATACAATGCTTTGCAATCATGCTTTGAGGTTCCAGATCCATGGAGGATGCAGTCAGTCACAAATAATTGTGACTAATAAGTTGAAATAGATGCAACATTTGAGTACACAGCTTGACCTTCCCATTTATCAGTAATATAACGTTGATTTTAACAGTGTCGGTGCTCGTTTTAATTTAACAAATGCTCAAAGTCTTGATGGCATGATGACATGGCAACAAGATCACTAAAAAAAGGGATTCTTTACCTCTGGGTATCTTCCACTCCAATCTGAATATCTGGCCAGGTGTTGCTCATATTAAAATACTGGGTAAATTATTTGTTACAATTTCAGTTTGTTCGGTAAGGAAGGATATCTGGTGTGTTGTGAACATTTAAAAGGAGAAAACTTCAATATAAATAAACAGCACTAGTTTATGCCTAATCAGCTTTTCCCAACCTGGTGTTTTCCATATGTGCACAGTTGTATGCCAGTGGCCATGAGCCTTGGCCATTGGGCAGTATATAAATGAAATGAAATTAAATATATAAATGGCCATGATGACTAGAAATGGTCAGTGCTGCAGCCCAACATATTCTGGAGAGCACCAAGTTATGGAAGCTTCCACCTAGCAATTGAGATGTGATTCTGCAGAAGTGAAGTCTGCTGCCTTACTCCTTTGAAGTTCAGCTGTTGTTTCCGTTTAGCAGTGCTCTGCTCAGGTTTCTTTGTGTCTCAGTAACATGGGGAAGGAAAAGGCTGCAAATTCTTTTAGCCACACTCCTTCCCTTTCTCCCTACATCTCCCTCACCTTCACTCCCACTGTGGTCAAGAACTCTTTGATGTGTGTTCTTGTTGAGAGCCTCCTGGAAAGGTGTGAAGGGCTTTACAAAAGAGGTGTTAGCTTTTTACAATATTGCCAACATATCACAAGACCAGTGCTGGCATTTTGCCACTTTGAACCTGTGAAGGTGCCAATAGACACATACGTAAATGAAACAGGACTTATGCTGACACTTCCATTCATCGCTGCTTTTAAATATTCTGGCTCATAGGATATGTTTGTTTATAAATGTTTTCTATTTAAAGATCATTTGTGACATAACTTTTACTATAAATGAAATATATTTTCAGATGTTTCTTTTCTCTCTAAGGCTCTTCTCTCTTGATGCTACATACCCATATGTTTTCAAAGTTATTCTATAATCAGGACCTTTAGAGAGATCAGTCCGTAAAGCTCTTATCCTTAATAGTGTATTCTCGGGTTCTCTGGGCACTGATCATATATGAGGCTTTATTATGCTCTATAATAGGGATGAGGTCGTGTAAGATCTTCTCATTTGTGGAGTGAATGCAGATGAGTCAAAAACTAATTTGATCCAGGCAAACACTGATTTGATTCACAGAATTTTGCAGGGGGTCCAGATATGTTTTCAATTAGTGACCCTCCTGCGTTTTGCCACCACTATTTCTGCTGTTTTTTTTTCTGTACCAGCAAAATGGTTAAAAAAGAAGAGTCCAACTAGCTACACAATGCCTTTTGATTGTTAATGCTATGAGCCCTTCATCTAAATCAGTAGAAGATTGAAAAGGCATTCCAATTCAAATATTTAGGTGTAGTTCTGTAAGCAAATGGCTTCAGGAAGGGCCATGGTGAACATGTGGCATTTAACGCCTAGAAAAGCTCTTTGGCGGTAGTACAATTTATGAGAATGAAAGGCGGCCACTCTGTTGGAACTGCATAAGCATAAAAGAGCATTTACCTTGGCCCATCTTAATGGTCTTCCCTTGCCTGTGTTAGAGGGATGGTATAAAACAATCACATAGTCAAAGTATCTTTGCCCCGTGATATGGAACAGATAGAAACCACAGAGCATGCCCCGCTGCAGTGTACATTCTGTCAGGACATTCGTGCTGCACTCATCTCCCCTTTGAACAAATTGATTTCCAGGCCATACAGGACAACAGTACAGTCTGTATATTACTGACTATCGCTAATTTACATATAGGTTTTACTATTTATATATTACATACGTATACATATTACATATGTATATCACATATACAACACTGTTTGCATATAGTGTTGCTAAATTCTTTGCAGCTGCAATAGATATTTGAAGAAGGCCTTTGAAAGAGTGTAGACCTATTTACTTAGCTGGATGAAAGATAAAGTCTGGGGAGTAATACCATTTATCCAATATGGCTGATATACATGCTGGTCTAATACTAGCATTAAAGTGAGTTGAAGTGTTTATCACTTGGAATGGGGATATGGTATATGTCACACAATTTAGAACTGACTCTGGGGAGTTATAGGTTATTGGCCGTGCTATGTACACCCTATAACCAATGGCTAATATTTGCCTATATTTCCCCAGTATTTCTGTATTGCTTTTTAATGTTTTACTTTGGTCTGCTCTTTGACCGCAATAAAGTTTTAATAACTGATTGACTGATTGAACCCTTCATCTGGAAGCAGCCATTATAAATTTGTGTTTGCATGCTACATACAAAACAGGAAAGATGGAAAAATACAGACTGTTAAAGTGAAGTTGGATATAGTTTTGTTTTTTACCAATAAAATAATAAACTTACTTTTTCCCTTGCCCTGTACCATCATAAAGACATGCAAGGACAAAAAACAAAGCAAAAACAAACCCCTTCCGTGGCAGTTAAATTTAGTCCATGGATGACTGTTTCCTCATCTTTTTTAAATTACTTGTATCTATTTCATACAGGATAATTTACCTTACAGCCTACACTGAGATAATCTTTCTTCATGTAGGGAAAAATAATGTACACATATGCAACATAATGGGAGTTTATTTACTGTGAGTACAGAAATCAGGCAGCTGAGATGGAAAGCTGATTTTATATATTGGCATGTTTTTCAGTCTGGAGTACATTTACTGGTGTACTGAATGCATATAACTACAGTTGCCATTCAAAGACTTAACTGGCTTCCCATTTAAGACATTAATGATACTATTGGTGCTAAATTTAGTTGCACAAAGCCTCACATGCCCTTAAAATCATTTCCGTCCCAGAGACTTTTCTCACTGTATTTTATTTACAATTGTGAATTGAATTAGATATATCTGTAGTGCCCTTTTCTGACAGTATTTGTACATATTGGTTACTTTCATCCTGGTGATCTTTTTTCATAGCTTGGTTCTGAAAAAGCATTTCAGATGTACTGCAATATGGCAGGAGTGCAAAAAGTGCAACTGCCAAGTTGCATTGGTGACTTACCCGGCCCCTCTGCATCTGCTACCACTGGAAAAAAAATAAATTAACAGCACTTCCTTGTGTTATCCTCGCTAGCAAGGGAATCCCCTTTTTAAATCTCTGGTCTCTTCTGA